TAATTATTTTACCTTTCTTTTTAAATATGAATTTTCTACAGGACTAGTATTATAGCATTAACATCTGCAATGGGGGTTTTCTTACCTGATTTCTTTGATAACAAAAGTTGCAAGCCCAGAGTTTTGCTCGATAATCCACTTGACTGTTTTATGAAAAGAAAACATACATTAGGCTCATGTTTCAGTTCAATTTTATAAGAATTCTAGTGTCAATAAAATTAATATCTTTCTAAAACTTGAATGCATTCAAACTGATATTCAAAGTGATCTTTAAAAGCCATGTATTTTTAGACATTGCCAATACTTAATTCGTACTTTTAACATACACGAGTTCACCTAAATGGTGAATATACAGTAACTTTTAATATATAGCAAATATCAAAAAAATTAAGATAATCCTATTTTCCTCAAATGACTTTAGTGACATCTACACTCAGACCTAGAAAACATTTATTCAAGTCAAAAATATATTTATCGAATGCCTGATATGTACCGATGATTATTTTAGGTGCTGGTAATACAGCAGTAAGCATGAGAGAAAAGTTCCCTCTCATGGAATTTACATTCTAGAAGAGATAGACATAAAAAAGGCAAGTAGATGTACAAATAACAAAATGCTTTTAGACAGTGATAACAAAGATTAAAGAAAACAAAACAGGATGTGAGAATGCATTTGGAAGGGCTACTTTAAAGGACAGCCTTCTTAAATAGACATGTATGATCTGAATGAAAAGCAACCAGTAAAAGGAAAATCTGGATACAGAGCAATCCAGGCAGAATACATAGCTACTGTACAAGTTCCAAGGAAGGAATAAGTTTGGTATGTTCGAGGATCAGAAAGAGGGCAATAGAGTTAAGGTATTATGTAGATGAGAATAAGAAAAATGGATGATACAAAATGAAGGCAGAAATATATACAGAGACTAGATCATGTAGGGCTTTACAGGTCTTGATAAGGGGTTTGAATTTTTCATTCCAAGTATAAGCAGCAGCTATTGGAGGATTTTAACAATCTGATATCCATTCATAAAATGCTAGCTCCTGGGTGGCAAATAGACTGTTGAAAGATGAGAATGAAAACAGGGAGACCAGTTAGGAGGATATTGAAATTGTCCAGGAAAAAGATGGTGGTATCTGAAGCAGGATGTACTAGCAGAGATTGAGTATAAGAGACAGAATCCATAATGTGCTGAAAGTAGACCAATCAGAGTTGCTAGCGCATTGGATGGGGGGAGAGGGAGTGGAAAGAGGAAAAAAAGATGATTTCTGAGATTTTGGCTTCAGCAACAAGAAATCATAACATTTTTCCAATACCATGCCACTCAATTATACTTTTCTAATGCACAAGATGGCTTGATACATAGCCAGCACAACCATCTAGAAAATACTGATAGGCTCTAATGGTTTTTACAGTGACACTTTTACATTTGGTGTCTTTACATTATCAACTTACTACAACTAGAATGATCCTAAAATTTTACAGCTTTTTTAATTTCTTTGACCTCATAATTTGAAAAAGTAACTATGAACAAAAGCAAAGGCATTTTTATATAAATGAGCCACTACATTTTTGAATCATATTGCCACATTAGTTTTTTCCATATATTTTAATTACCATAAAGGATTTAAAACTGCACGACAAGTGGTCCTACTACAAAGAACAGGTTCATATTGAATAGGCGGTAAATCAGGTCTCTCCTTCAGTGGTGTAAATAGCGCTGCCACGGGAACAACCATTCTTGTAGCTTCCAGTCGACTTGATGGCCAAACATTCCAACTAAATCGGACTCCATCTCGTTCCTCATTTTGTTGAATGAATTCCAAATAGGTTGTCATTGTGGAGCTTGATTCTTATTTCTGTACCAAAATTAAAAGATACTTAAAAATCTAGGATTCACTTAAGATTGAAAATAAATATGTTTTTAAGTGGATCTGAGAGGCAAAAAAAAAAAGGAAGTATGTTTTCCCCACATTCAGCAATATTAACACATTAGAAATCACGACCAAATGAAAATATTTATTTCAGAAAAAAATTAGCAAGCAAACGATAACCCCACTTATATAACAAAATAATTAGTGGCTATACAGAACCCAATGCCCATTAGGTCCATTAAGAGGTATTTTACACTTTTTTATTCACTCTTTAAAAAACAATGGCAACAAATAGTAAGTGTCCTGTTCATTTAAAGGTGATAGGAAAGAAAGGCAAAAATAGGGGGAAAATCTAGGTCTATGTTTTCTATATCAGCTTTTTAAGTTACATCAGTCTAATAAACACATCGAAATCACAAAATTCTAAAACTCATATAGTTTTCTATCCAGAATATAACAAGTTTCCACTAAACTTTATAGAAGAGAATGCTTAATGGTACGTAACAAAAATATTTTCCTAAAACCTGGTACTTCTACTTTAGACAGGTAATTTTTTAACTTTGCAAATACAGGTTATTTGTGGGACAATTAACAAAATGCCTGAGAAATGCTGTTTCCTCATGATTTATATACTGTTTAACTTCTTTTGCAGAAACTTAATTCAGAATATTTTTAAAATTTCAGCTTATGAGAGTGTTTTAAACTCTAATTTGAAATACATAATTTCAATAAAATAATTTAAGTTTACTACCAGGGGAAGAGGATGCCACTCTGGGGAGGGTCCACTATCTAGACATTTCTCCATTTTTACTATCTACCTAAGATGCCAGATTCCTATCTAAGCAACAGTTCTCCCTCATGTTCTCAAACTGCAACAATGGTTAGTCATGGAAGGAAGTTGAAGGTGTATGAGGATAAAGAATTTCAAGTGCTATGTGGCAGACACAAAGGATATCAAGTTAAAACAACTGAAGAGGCCAAGTGTGGTGGCTTGCACCTATAATTCTAGCACTTTGGGAGGCCAACGTGGGAGAAATGCTTGAGCCCCAGAGTTCGAGGGTGCAGTGAGCTAATAAGCTATGATCATGGCACCGCACTCCAGCCTGGAAAACAGAGCGAGACCTTGTCTCTTAAAAAAAAAAAAAAAAGAACTTAAGAATTATGAAACTACAGCGGCAGAAAAAGAAAACTCAACATGGACGTAAAGATCGATAATAGTAGGACAAGAAATTGATCCTAAAATATAAGTGAGGGAAGGAGAGGTATTATTCAAAAAAAATGTTAGATATAACAGTTTTAATTTTAGAAAATTTTCAAATAGATTTTGATAATACAAATTACAGAAAGTGAAGCTTAACAAATCTAAGTATTCCAAGCAGCTAAGAACTTTCTCTTCCTTAAAATAAGTAAGATAATAAACATGAAAGAAAACACTATTTCCTCCTACCATGCCAGCATCTTGGTGACAACTACAGAATTTTATGCTAATCAAAAGAGATTGTGGCCAGGTATGATGGCTCATGCCTATAATTCCAGCACTTTGGGAGGACAAGGTGGGAGGATCTCTTGAAGCCAGTGAGACATGCACCCCACCACCCTGACACCTCCACTCTCCCCACCCTGTCTCTACAAAAAACAGAAAAAATTAGCCGGGGCATGGTGACTGGTGCCTGTAGTCCCAGCTACTCCGAAGGCTGAGTAGCTTGAGCCCAGGAGTTTGAGGGTGCAGTGAGCTATGATGATGCCACCATACTCTAACCTGGGCAACAGAGACTCTGTCTCAAAAAAAAAAAAAAAAAGACAAAAGAAAGAGATCGTGGATTTTCAAAGGTGTATAAAGGGTAAAGAGGAATCCTAAGACTACACTTACTTAGAAAAGACTATTTTGAAGATAAATACAGAAGACAAGCTTTGAGAAGGATAGTTGGTATAAGCTTCCAAGGAAAAGTAGCCATTGAAAGATAATGATCCAACAAAGGTTAGTCAGAGGGAATTAGAAGACGCCAAACTGTTATAACACAAGCAGTCATAAAGGAAAAAATAACCTGAGGTGGGGGGAGGGGGAGATCCAGTTTTTAGCAATGGCTTCCATGCTACAGATCTGAATATAAATTCTAGGAGGCAATCCTCCCCTTCGTTTCTACAAAAAATAAAGCAAATGAAATTTTCTGTTTATTATTTAATTGCTCCTGTAATCTGAAATGCATCTACAATGCAACTGCAAAAAGCATTAAAATACCCAAACATCCTAGACCAATCAGGGTTGTTCATCTGAAACACAAAAACAAAAAATGTTCTGAGTGATTATTTTCTCAATTCTCCCAAATAGTATATAACTAGTAGTAGGTATTTCAAAGACATTTTTTCAAAATGGATGAAATGAGTCTGTCACTTTACTTTGAGGAAAACAATTGACAGTATTTGTTGCCAATGATAAAATTGGGGCTTTCAAGCAAATATTAAAATTTTTGAAAACTTGCATCCACTACTGTGAGCTTGACAGATTCCTAACATGTAAAGACTTTTCTGATGAGATCACTGTATTAATGTGATTTTTTTGGTATTGTATAATGAAACATGACAACATTTGGAAGCTATATTAATACATTACTCAGTGAGGCAATGTTCCCCAAACGGTCAATTCATATGTTAAAATATCATGCATGGGTAGATGATCCATTCAAAGCACGGGATAATTCTAGCACTCTGGGAGGCGGAGGCAGGAGGATCACTTGAGATCAGGAGTTTGAGGTTGTTGTGAGTTAGGCTGACACCACTCTAGCCCAAGTGCCACTCTAGCCCAAGCTACAAAGCGACTCTTGTCTCAAAAAAAAAAAAAAAGAAAACAAGTACAGGATAGACCCATGGGTTTTAATGTTACAAGAGTACAAAAAGTTCACTTCTAAGGCTTCAGATTCCACATTGCAATTAACTTTTAATTTCTTAATTAAAACTCTGTCAACTTTGGTATAGTATCAAAGAAGAATATGCAAGTGTCCAAAAAAGCTATTAAAATAGTTCTTCTATTTCCAACTACATTATCTATATGAGGCCAGATTTCCTTCATACAATTAAACCAAAACAATATATTATGTGTCAACGAAAAAAAAAGACCAAGCTCTGTAAAATAATCTTAAAGAGATTTACTCTGAGCCAAATTTGAGGACCATGACTCGGAGCCATGCCCAAGAAGCCTTTAGCAAGTGGACTCAGTCTGGCTGGGTTACAGTTTGGTTTTATACATTTCAGGGAGACAGGGGTTACAGGTAAAGTCATAAATCAATATGTGGGAGGCATACATTAGTTTGGCCCAAAAAGGTGGGCCATATCGAAGTGGGGGCTTACAGGTTATAGGTGGGTTTAAAGATTCTTTGACTTGTAATTGGTTAAAGACATGAAGCTTTATCTAAAGGCTTGGAATGTTTTAACATAAGGAGCTATTTATCAGAGATAAGCCAACAGACATAGATTTGTTATGTAAATTGAGGAACTGCAGGTTTGTTTTGCATACCTTTAGGCCTGTTAATGGGTTACAAAAGATGTCCCCAAGAAGGGGAGGGTCATGACAAGGCATGTCAGACCTCCCTCCTCCAGCCAGGCTATTTAGTTTTGGGATATCCCTTTGGCCACGAGGGAGTCCATTCAGTCAGCCGGTGGGGGGTGAGCCTTATAATTTTATTTTAGTTCACATATGTACAATAGACTCCAGGAGAAGTGAAAAGTTACCTGTCTTCTATTAAGCCAGTTTTTTTCTTTGGTGTTCTAAGAACCACTGTCTTAGGACCATTAGGAAACCTCACGGAGAAAGGTTCAAGGAGTCTTAGTAGGAAAACATTCACACACAGGCAACAGCCAGGTTTAAGTTTCTACAACAGGTAACAGGCTGGATTATAACTCTACATCTTTACTTTTTATTAAGACATACTAAACATCATCTGAGTGACATTTCAGCAAAATTCCCTTCCTCTTCCTCACACTTTTTTCTCTCCATCTCTCTGCTCTAAGATCATATTTGCTTGCTAAATCACATCCACTATATTTCTTACATTCTCACTTTCCAGCAGTATTTTGAAGAAAATTTCTTCTTAATTGGTCCAATTACATGGCCATGGACAACAACTCCCTGATTTCACCTTTCCGAAGTTGGAATTGTGCAATCTTAAAATCACTAATTTGAGTACAAAATTAGCCAGGCGTGTTCCCATATCTAATAATTGCATATCCGAAAAAGTCCTTTTACAAACTAGCTTTTCGCCTGGCGCAGTGGCTCACACCTGTAATCCTAGCACTCTGGGAGGCCCAGGTGGGCGGATCATTTGAGCTCAGGAGTTCAAGACCAGCCTGAGCAAGAGTGAGACCCCATCTCTACTGAAAAAATAATAGAAAGAAATTAAGTGGACAACTAAACATATATATTTAAAAAAATTAGCCGGGCATGGTGGCACATGCCTGTAGTCCCAGCCACTCAGGAGGCCAAGACAGGAGGATCACTTGAGCCCAGGAGATTGAGGATGCTGTGAGCTAGGCTGACACCATGGCACTATAGCCCTGGCAACAGAGTGAGCCTCTGTCTCAAAAAAAAAAAAAAACCTAGCTTTTCATAAAATGGTATTATTTGACAAGCACTCTCCTCCCAACATTAACATATATTTGCATAAAGGCATCAAACCAAATAAACATTATTCACACACTATATTAGAATGCAGACTTTACATACCATTCTTTATTTTTTTTAAAGTAATACAGGCCGGGCACGGTGGCTCACGCCTGTAATCCTAGCACTCTGGGAGGCCGAGGCGGGTGGATCGCTCAAGGTTAGGAGTTCGAGACCAACCTGAGCAGGAGCGAGACCCCGTCTCTACCAAAAAGTAGAAAGAAATGATCTGGACAACTAAAAATATATATATATAGAAAAAATCAGCTGGGCATGGTGGCGCATGCCTGTAGTCCCAGCTACTCTGGAGGCTGAGGCAGAAGGATTGCTTGAGCCCAGGAGTTTGAGGTTGCTGTGAGCTAGGATGACGCCACGGCACTCACTCTAGCCACGGCAACAAAGCGAGACTCAGTCTCGGGGAAAAAAAAAAAAGTAATACAAAAAATCATTCTAAAGAAATGTCCGACTTTTCAACACAATTTGTAATGTGTGAGAACTACTTTTTTTTGCCCGCCCCCCCGGAGTTTTCAAGTAACTACTTTAGTTAAATAATTTCTCATGATAAAACTAATAGCGAAGAAGCAAAGCATTATGTCACTTTAACCTAGTATATCAAATTCGTGCCCACAGTATAACTGATTTTCAATATTCCAATTTCAGCCCTTTAATACATTATCTAATTGAAAAGCATACAACATTGCAAGTAAAACTTGAGTTCCTTCCAATCGGGTCTATCTGTTACTAGACAAATGTGCCTCTCCTACTTTTCAGCTGTAAAATCCTCGATGAACCCTCTTCAGTTACTTCTGACGACTAGCTTTATGATCTTGGACAGTTTACCTTTCTGATCTCACCAGTAAGCTGAGAGGTTTGAACCAGAAAACTACAAAGTCCTATATAACTGTAAAATTCTGTGTCAATTTCAAAATGGTTAGACTTCCGAAATGATGATAATTACACTACTGGACAAGAGAGAGAAGGAACACTTAATGTGCATTTTATATTCAAATCTAAAACTTTTTCTGCCACGTTAATTTGGCTAGTTATTCATGGTGGAGGGTAGAGACCAAGGAATTTTCACGTGAAAACATGATTTCAACGCCCCCGCTCCAGTGATTACCTGTATATTAAGACTTTACTTAAGTACCTTTCCCACCAAAACGGGAAAATTCTTGGATAGGATTGGTCCTGCCTGAAAACTTTCTATTTGTAACCAAGGCCCAAGGAATTAGCTTTACCTAGCACTTTTATCTTTAACCCCTTTAACTCCCAAGGCCGAAATACGGGTGACAAATCGCCTCGGTTCAAAGTCTAGGGCATGCCAGATTATGCAAGGAATGAACTCAGAAGCCCAAGTCCCCAGAAGAGATGATGGGCTGGGGTGGAGAAACCTGGTCGCCCAGGAGGCGGGGGTGGGTGCAGGGCGAGATGCTCGAACTGCCCGTTTTTTACCCAGCTCCCATCTTTCCACATAATCCAGGAGAGCCGGATAAGGGGGGCCGGGCCCCCAGGCCTCCGGGAGAGCGAAGCAGAGGGCGGTGAAAGGGTGACATGTTCAGTGCTCAACGTTTCCCCCGCCGGACCGCACCGGGCCGCAGCCTCCGTAGCGCCTCGCCTGCTACGGGGAACCGAGGGGGCAGAGCCGGGACCACCCCGAGACCCCGGCCCGCCAGCCCACCGCCGCCACCCAGCCCCGGTTTCCCGCTGAGCGCCCGCAGCCCCTCCGGGAGCGAGAGGAGGCGGCCCTGAAGTCGATCCTTACCTCAGTGCCTCCTCTACAAGATCTCAGCCTGTCGCAGCCTCCACCTTACAAAATCAGTCTTCTCCGCCGAGCAGGAGCAGCCCGTGGCACCGAAATCAGGGCCGGCCCCGCCCCGCCCCCGGCCTCTGCAAAGACCTCAGCCCGGCCAACATGGCTGGTCCGCCTCTGCCACGTCAAGGGGAGGGGGAGAGGCGGGGCGTAGGGGAGGAAGGGGCGGGGGATGGTAGAGAGGGGAACGGAGGGAGGCAAGGGGCGGGGCGTGAGGGGAAGAGGGGCGGGAACAGAGCTGGGGTGGGGCAACGGATCAGGGCGCTTAAGGGAGGATCCGAGAGCCGGGCGGGGCGGTGGGGGGATGTGAAGGGTAGAAAGGAGACCCGGCAGGGACCAAGCCAGAGGGGCGGGAGGGGAGGAAGGGCCGGGACAACCCGCCCGGGGGGCGGGTCCCCGGCCGAGCTGGACTGGGAGAGTGGAGCCGGGTGCGGCAGTCTCCCGGGAGCCACTGCGGGTCCTACTCCCTGCAGGTCGCAGAAAACGTGAAGAACTGCTGTTGCCACTAGACACCTCAGTTCCCCAAGAGAAATGGAGGCGTCCTCTAGGACATCTTCTCTAGGGCCGTAGTTGATTCCAAGAATCACAAACCACATCTCTAAAAAACAAAGTGAGAAGTTTGTTCTTTCATTTAGTGCAACAAATATTTACTGAACACCTACTATGCGCCAGACACAGTTGAGATGCTGGTGATATGATGTAAGCAAAATAGGCCAAGATCCCTGGCCTGAAAGAATTTAAATACTATTTATGTATTCCTAGTCAGTCTACCTGTTTTCCTCCTACATTGCTTCTACCACCCCAACTCCACCAAGCCCCACCTACTACACACACAATTTTTGCCTGGTTAATCTTGATGTGCTTGCTTCTCTTTCCAAGAAAAGAACTGAGCAAAATGAAACAGCAACAGCTGGAAAGACATTCAAAGTGGTGGTCTCAGGCAAATTCATCCTTCAGTGAAGACTGCTCATGGAATTAATTCCAGATATGACAACACCTAAAATCCTGCAAAACTTAGCGCTATCAGCAATTTATGGAATAGAAAAAAAGATCAAATACGTGTTCTTCAAAGCTTATGTAAGTTCATGAGAAATAAGTTAGCACCAAACATCATTTTCCTTTCTATTAATAATATAATGTATTAATATATGCTAAGGTTGTTTTGGAAGGTGGAAGAGGATAAGTTTGCCTATCAAATTTTAATACAATCCTGAAGAGGAAACAGGACTCAAAAGCCAAGATTCAGTAAAGGCCTCCAAATAAAATGGGTTCAGGGTGTTACCTTAACAAGAATTTCGGGTTGGGGGGCAGAAGGGGGATAAGGATTCTTAACGAAGTGCAGCATGTAAACATCAGGGACAATGTTATAAAGGTGGAATAAGAACACACAGAAAGAAACAAAAACTAAGAATGAGTAGGGTAAAAAGATAAATGTCTTAGGACTTTGAGGCTGCTACAACAAAATACCATCAACAGGGTGGCTTATACACAACAGAAATGTATTTCTTACTATTCCAGAGGATCACAGATCAAGATGCCAGCAGATTTGGTGTCTGATGAGAACCCACTTTATAGTTCACAGATGCTGATTTATAGCTTTGTTCTTCCGTGGTGGAAGGGGCTAGCTAGCTCTCTGGGGTCTCTTTTATAAAAGCACTAATCCCATTCATGAGGGCTCTTGCCCTCATGACCTAATCACCTCACAAAGGCCCTACCTACTAACACTATCACCTTGCAGGTTAGAATATGAATTTTGGGAGAAGCCAGGCAAAGTGGCTTGTGCCTGTAGTCCCAGCTACTTGAGAGGCTGAGGTAGGAGGATCGATTGAGCCCAGGAGTTCCAGGCTACAGTGAGCCATGATAGTGCCTCTGCACTCCAGCCTGGTGACAAAGAAAGACCCTGTCTCGGAAAAAAAAAAAAAAAAACTTCAAGTCTTATATTTTGATTATGTAAGTACAGGAAAAACCAGAAATAAGAAGAAGCTAGGAACTAGTAGTAATGTATTTGAAATCAGCAATCATTGTTTACAAGATGAGTATGTTCTAGACTTATACATGACCGGTAATGAGCAGTTAGTTGTACTCAGAGGACACTGCCCGTTTGGGTATTGTATCTTCCAAACCGAAAAAATATGGAATAAAAATTGGGGCTTGCTATGTTTCCATTCTTATTAAACTTTCTAATAAAGTTTTTTTCCTACTATCCCTTTACTTTTTCTAAAAACAGTTATATTAAATATTCCTTTAATTTGTGTAAATTATTCATGAAATGACTTAAAGCTATAAAAATGTAAAAGGGTCCATTGGACCAAGATGGTAGATGGTCAAGACTATTCTTTCTGGTATACTGAGAGTTACAAGGTTTTGACCTGAGTAAGAATATAGAGAGAATGGAAAATTTTTTGAGGGCCTGTGAAAGGAAAGTCAAACCAGGAATCACAGAAAGGGGAGAATCTCCAAAAACAACCTTCTCTGCTTTCTAATTTACTCTATAGACATCCCTGGACCAATGCATTTAAGACCAATCTGTGAATCTGAAGGATGTTTGTTGTTAAACATTTACCAACACAGAAGTGATCATAATCATTTCCTTTCAGTTTCAACACTTTGTGAAAGTCCTATCACAAAATGATTGTTCCCTAAATATTCATGAATGAGCATAAGAACCTAAAGAGTGGGCTGAGCATAGTGGCTCACACCTGTAATTCTAGCACTCTAGGATGCCAAGACAGGAGGATCACTTGAGCTCAGGAGTTTGAGGTAGCAGTCAGCTATGATTGCGCCACTGCACTCCAGCCTGGGCAACAAGGCTTTTTTTGTCTCAAAAAAAAAAAAAAGAAAGAAAAAAGGAAAAAACTCTAAGAAGTATTAAGTATTATTTTATTATATCACCATCATCACTGTTAATGTATTAAAAGATTGATTGTAAAAATATAAATTCTGACACAAGCCCCCTTCAAAAAAAAGTCTTTTTTATTTTTTCTCGGTTCCCCCCTGCCCCAGAGCAGCCAGGGCCTTGGTCTGTCACCCAGGCTAGAGTGCAGTAGCACGATAATAGCTTGCTGCAGCCTCAAACTCCTCAGCTCAAGGGATCCTCCTGCCTCAGCCTCCCAAGTAGCTGGGACCACAGGCACACACCACCACACCTAGCTAGTTTTTTTAAATTTTTGTACAGATGAGGTCTTGCTATGTTGCCCAGGCTGGTCTTCAACTCCTGGCCTCAAGCCATCCTCCAGCATCAGCTTTCTAAAGTGCTAGGATTACAGGCATGAGCTACCATGCCTGGCCCAAAAAGTCTTTTTTTAAAGCCAATGCCCCTAATATCATTACTTCCCCAAACTGGCATTTCTCAAAACACCACACGTTAAAAAGAGAGAGGGAAAAGTCCTATGGTCAAATAAAGTCAGAAAACACCAAGTTAAAGTATGTAAAATAGGTCCCTAGACTTGTCAGGGGTTTTAATATGACAATACTCATTGTGAATCCACAAGATGGAATTTAAGATCATTTCTCAAAGATATTAGACCTTGGAACTTTTTCTCCAGGGACTATCTTGGGGCAAGTATTCTAAACACCCTGTGAAAGACTTTGTCCTCCACCATTAATTACCTTAAATATTAGTTAATACATAACAGCCAATAATTTCCTTCCTACTTCAGAACCCACAGATGTTTGTAAACTAGAGATTCTGGTACTACACAGTCAGGTGAAGTATGATGTCAACGTGGGGTTTTATATGTTAACCACCAGATGGAGCTTTAACCTCTACTTTTTCTTTTGAGGTCTACTCTTTTTTTAGTATTAATGAAGCACTTGCAGTTTTTTCAAACATGGATTCTCTTCCATTTGGTCAGATGGTGACAGAATAAGGCAGTGGCCAACTATTTTTGGAGTAGTAACTAGAAAAAGCAATACTCAGATTCTTATAATTTTAAATTTTCAGTGTCAAGTTAATATATATGGGATAACATCTCTCTGGTGTTCTAGTCTGAACTTACGTGTATGTAAAGGGAACTAAAAATCTCAGGATCCCTCTGCAACTCCTTTTGCAAAAGGAAAGTTCAAGCCTGGAGGCTGAGTCATGCAACACCCTCTTCCAAATGAATAGCAGTTACTGACACTATGTATTAGCCAGATCTCTACAAAAAGGTAAAAGACCTCAGGCATCTATAAGGACTGGTTCCACACATTCATAGGAAATTCTTTGCAAGCCTCCTCTAAACAAGGACATGCAAATTATAACTTTAGGTCTACAGGCTAAGTCTAGTTCCAAAAACTAAGTGTGTTTGATTCTACACGAATAATGTTGATTACAAAGTTATCTTCCCAGGTGCAGAACAGAGACAAGACACTATCAATCATTCTTCCACTTACTCAGGGACATGTGCATAGTTGATTCTTCCTTTACTGTCTTTTTCTCTTCAAACCTTCACATCATCTTATGTAAAATGCAGATTTCCTGGGCCTCACTGCCCAGCCCCCTCCTCCTTTTTCTTTCTGTATGCCCTTTC